TTGTGTCTAAATGATGGGGGGCTGAAAAATTCTTAACATTGGTAAGAAACCCTTTTAACAGTCATTTGGTAAGAAGTTTAGTCTAAGAGCTCTTCAGCACCCCCCTCATATAGCATATACATATGTCTATTGATGTTGAGTATTTAATGTTAGTGATTTAGCTTTTTCAGAAAGAAAAACCCTTTCTTTGTCATCATTTTTTTTTCTTTTTTCTTTAAACATACCTAAATTGTCTCTATCACCTCTCTCTCTATCTCTCTCAGGCTCATTAAAATCCCCCTTTTTTTTTTCTTTCTTTTTTTTTTATAACAAACTTCCACCTTTAGCACAATTTTATTCTTTTTCTCTTAGTTTTGATTTTACTATAGATTTTTCCATTCCTGTTTCTTCTCCTAAATAAACATTCTTTTCTTTATTCTGTCAAAGATTCAAGGCTTTTCTTACACTAGCCACTTGTGTTTTCCTCTTTGCCTTACAATGCCAATTTTGCATCATCTCAGTACTAGCTATTATTATAATATCTGTGCAAATTGGTTCCATCCACTGTCATCCTGTATGCGAAAGTATAGTTCTTATTCCAGCTGATTAAATCAAGATGGTCTTCTGACATAAACTCACACTTGAGTGTGTACATGTGTATAGCTTAAAGTATGTATGTTAATTTAGAAGACAACAGTTGGTTGTCCTTCCTGCAAGCCAATTCTTATTAGCTGTCCAACTCTTTAGCTTGAAGGTTAGAGCTTTGTACTGAATTGGCTATTATCTTATGTATTGAAACATTCCGTCTTTCATGGATTATCATTGTTATTTGCTGAAAACAGCCCCCCCCAATATCGTTGGCTCTAAATTAAAGCTAAAGTTAGCAGTTTCCTGCTTAGATGGCAAGGGGATAATTTTTTTTTTTTTTTTTTTTTTTAAGGAATTCTATTTATTCCTTGACTTAATCACTTCATTTTGCAAATGTTCCATCCCACCTAGCTTTAATTAATAGTTTTCTGAGAAAGTCAAAGCAATAAAAAGAGAAGAATTTTTAACAATTATGAATTCTTTTCTTCTTCTTCTTCAATGAGTGTCTAAGATTATTATATTGCCAACAAAATGGAGATTGTTTTTCAACTCTATTTATTGCTACTGAACATTTAAAACTGAGTCTGTTAGATGAAGAATACAACAAAGATAGGGATATGAAAACGTTTGGAGAATTTAAGGTGCAAAATGACTTCTTCCCAAAAGAAAGAAAACAAAATAAATTATAAAATATGGATTACTTTATTTCCTGGTGAAATGATTTCAAGACACATGTGAACTGTCTGGCAAGACCTGGGAAACACTGGGTAACTTGACAGATGAACAGCTTCCTCAATTTCAAATTTCACAAAATTTTTGGTAGCACCTTTATGTATACAGACAAAAGAATAAGTCAATGCATTTTGTCAGCTTTATAAAGGTAAATGTAAGGATTTTATTTGGCAAAACATTTTTATAACAAAAGTGAAAACGTTATTTTTTTTTGGAAAATATAGAATAACAATCATAAATATGCATCAGGCTAACTGAAAGTCAAGGTAAACTATGGAAGATGTTAAGCAGTGTAATTTTAATACCTTATAAATGAAAGTGAGTAAATGTTATTGTTGGAGTTTTTTTTTCTAATTTTTTTTATTATTATTTATATTACTTTTGGTTTGAGAAAATAATTTATTAATGTGTTAGCTAAGAAAAGTTTCCCTTTTTGTCTCCATATTGTCTTTTTACAGATATATTTTTTAGTGATATCTGAATTTTTACACACTCCCACGCAACAAACAGAAAACATTTATAAATTGAGCATTTCACTTTTATTTAAGCTTCATTAGAAAATCTTTTTTTTTTTGATAAAGCTTAAAGAAAAATGAAACATGTTAAATTTATAAACATTTCCTATTTGTTCTTTACCCTATCATTCCATTGGATTCTGATCCATATTTGATCCCAATTCCATTGGATTCTGATCCATATTTGATCCCAATTCACACACATAGAGAGTATTAAAAATTCCTAAAGTTGACAAAATCTACTATCTATATTTCTCATGTTGTCCCTCTGTGTGTCTGTCGTGGGCATTGTTACCTTGCCCAGGCTGCATTTCTCACCTGATTTCGGCGCGGTTTTCAACACAAGTTTGCAAATGGCTGCCATAAGGACATGGCGGAGCCCGATTTTTGAGTTCGAATCAGGTTCAAAAAAATCGATAATCGAAAAAATTCTGCTTACAGAAGGAATGATCGCATTTCAACCAAATTTGACACCCTCTTAGAGTCTACCATTAGAAGTGTTGTCCAGAAGTTTCATGACCACGGATTCCCTAAACAGTGCGGAAAATCGATAAAACCCAAAAACTGATACGCCCAGATTGCGTGTGAACCGCATGTCGGTTTTTAGCAAAAACCGAGTGGATTTATGAAGAGGCCATTGGGAGTCATCATGTGAAGTTTCAACTCTGAGCACCCCCCTAAACAGAGTGCAAATCGACAATCGGTCAACCCTTAAAAATGTTTTTTCCAGTTTTTTAAAGCTGATCGTATTGTGTTTATTTTGTTTAGTTCTTTTTTCGTAACAGATTTAATGTTTACTATAGAGCTTAGAAAAAGTTGGCAGTGTGATATAGGCAAGAAGTAAGGCATGTAACAACATCAGCACAGCAAAGGACACTCCTCTAAAGGCAAGGAAGGACAAAAATATTTTAAGTCAAGTGATAGCGATTGCTGTATTAGTCGTACTATTTTTTAATCAAGCACGGGCAACGCCGGGCCATGCTGCTAGTTTCACATAAAATCTTACAAAATAACCTAAGATTAGATTTATTTTTTGTTTTTGGAAAGGGCTTCATGGGTTGGGCTAATAACTTTTCAATACCTTCTTTTATACACATGCACAGGTACAACAATAAGTCACTCACCTATTGATAAATAGGCATTGATTTGACACAGCAAATATTTATTTTTCAATAAAATGTCCTTCCTTGTCACTGCACTTAATTCAGAAGTTAATCATAAAGATTTAAGATTATACAGTAAAAATTTCAGATCAGAATTCAGTTTAAAACTCCATGTTCAGTCATGAACTTATTGTTGCGTCTCTGTATGTATTGAATGTTACCCAAAAGTTCAGAAAAGCACAATGATGGTTTTCTTAAAAAAAGAAAAAAATTGACAGAAAAATATTTTTTTTTCCTGACAATATAATTTCTGGTGAGACATGGGAAACACAGGGCAACTTAAAAGATAAACAGATTGATCAATCATTTTGAATTATTTAACATGTCACATCTGTGTTTTTAAAGCCATCTTTTATTGCCATCAATCTTAAGAGATGGTGATGAGTGTTTTTTGTGTGTGTGAATAAGAGGATGTATAGGTCAGGACACACCCTCTTCACATTCCCTCCTGATTTGGTTGATATAGGTGGGGTTCAGGACAGCTAGTTAGAGGGTCAGTTTCAGTCTAACCAAAGCTTTGATGCAAAGGATGCTCTTATGTTTTATGGTCTGTGCATGTGCAACCAGTTTTGAATTTCTTTGTACAAATGTGGTTGTCACCATAGTTAGAAACTGAAGAAACAGGCTCATGCCTTTTCCAAGGGCATTAGTGTGAAAGGAGTACAATAGAGTTGGCTAGAATTTGAACTTGATTTGCCCATTTCATTTTCCATGCTGATAACCATTATTTCTACAACATAGTTGTTTAATATGGCTTTAATGTCTATCAAAACATTCCCTTCATTTTAGCAATAATAAATGTCTTTGATCATCATATGCAGGCAATTTTGCAACTTTAGAAATCATAGCAATAGGTAAAGCTAACCTGCTAATGTGTTTATCCATCAAACAAGCAGAATTAGGCTTGGCACATTATGACTTACATAGATGTCAATTTAACAATACTCTATTTACATTATTTGGACTATTGTCCTTATCTTTGCTGCCATATTTATCACAATGTTTCAGACATTGTATGCTCCAGCCTTCTTCAGATGGAATGTCAAACAGAACCCTTTATTTCACTTGCTGGGGTAGACTGTTCTAGTTCCACGTGTCATGTCTAATGGATGCCAGTTATCTCCTGTTAATTCCCCATTTCAAGTTCTCCATTGCCTTAACCAGGTATTGAACTCACAAATCTTTGGGTCCTGTCACTGGATCTAACTAACACCTTTATCCACTGTGCCATAACAATACTCATTTTCATAATTTTTACAGCATCAAACTATCAAGTTTCCAAATAGTTTATTTAAACTGATTATATTTTCTTTCCTAGCTTCAATAAACTATTTGGTTGGAGAGTTTCAGTCAGAGGATGTGTCATCTTACATTCTTGTATAACACATGGTGCAGTTGTATTTTTCAAAAATATTAGTCAAAAATTCAAGTCATTCTTTTGCTAAAATATTTTGTTCTGTTTATTCTATGACTTTCCTCACAATCAATCTGCAAAAGTATTAACAAAAAAAAAAAAAAAAGAGAGAGATGAATAATCAGAACAACTCTTGGAATGTTTTATTTTAGAATAACAGAGTGGACTATTGTCATGAGATAATCCCACAAATCCAAGCCACCAATTTTATTTTTTATTAGTTGCCATCAACAACCATTAAGAACTTGCTTTTACCAATTCCTATAATGATGCTATTCTTTGCCATTTCTTTGGAGTAAATCTAATCAGAAGACATGAAATTAGGAAAACATGATAAATTTTGGTTCTTTATGTTGTGTCATATTTCTATTTTTTTTTTAAATCACTAAAAAAAAAAGTTATTAAACCCTCCCCAACTAAGGAATCTAAAAGCTATTTAATTTCTGTATTCATATGTGACATCCTGTACAATTTTTCTTTTAATGAAGTCATTGATTTTTTACTCTTTTTGCTGCAAAATACATTTTGGTTTATTTTTATTGATTGCATTTTTATTTTCAAGTTATCAAAAATCCAATTCAAATAATCTGCATGTGACTTTGTTTTCAGATTTTAGTTATATGGCACTGTGATGTCTCACCACCTCCTCCACGCAAGTGGCCTTCAGACCTTGCTGTCCCTATTCTGGTCAAAACCAGAAATATCAAGGTAAGTTTAGTATTTATATTGTCTCTCTTTTGCACTAATGTCAGGATTAGTACAATGCCATTAAGTAAAAATGAAACAAAATATTGGACTTGGTCTCTCAAATGTCACTGTCCATCATGTAATGAAAAAAATACTTGTATCCCACAAAGCATTACTTTTATTTTTTTCTAATATAAAAAATCAGCAAAGTAAAGAGTGGCAGAATGACTACAGGTTACACTTCATATAATATTACATATTATATTCCATTTAATTATCAAGCTTTTTGGGCCAAAATGATTAAGACAACATCTATGAATAATGATTTCCTGTGTAGTATGCAATGCATTTACAGTTGGATTGTTAATTATTTTTTATTAGGATCTTTTTGTTCTCAGGGTCAGAGAGTTTATTCAGAGCATTATGATGAAAATAAGATAAAGTGAATCCTAAAATAATAGTGATGAAAGTGTTCGGCTACTTCATATTCTGACATTAAATGTTGGTCATTAGCTTCTGAAATGTTCACATGACTGTCCTTTATTCTGCTGTTTTAAATACGTTTTGATTGATGCGTTCTTTGGTTTTGTTCAGGTTAATTGAGGAAGTGACAGATGTGTTGATCTTATACTAGTAGCCTTAGAAAAAGCATAAATCCATCTGATGAACTCTCTAGTCTTTATTGGTAGCCAACCAAGGAAAAGGACAATTTAGAATTCAAAACTGGAGAAAGCAATGCAGGGTTATTTCAATATCTTTTCCAAGAAAAATCATGGCAGTGCACAGTTTACAGTAAAAGAAGCTGTATAGAGCCATCATTAATTTTGTCCTGAAAAGATCTCACACTTAAAGAGAAGCAGAAATGTGACATGAAAACATTGACATCACTTAAAGATTAGCAAATTCAATGCTCATTTGAATAAGGCCAGAAAACACATCGGCTGAAATGCAGTGTTACAAAAACAATGAAGAAAGGATATTCATGTGAATTTTCTTCTATATGCCACATCTCGTCAGGACATTGGCAATCATGGCTCTCCAAATCTTCCTATTATTTGTGTCCTTCAGCAGTGTCAGTTTTGTGGCACATTGCCTTCACCTAAATCTCTTGCTCTTAATATGCTCTATGATGGTTAAGTTTTCCAAGCCCACAAAGAAGGGTTTGGAAAAGCTCATGTGGTGAATACACTGTCAGATTCTATGATAGAAGTCAATGTTTTCCACAATAAAATTGCTTGTAACCAAATGATAACTTTCAGCATATATTGATATTTACATAAAGCAATACATCAGATAAAATTCAGTTGAGAATATCTGTCCTTATTAAGATGACTGATAATAACTTGATTTGGTAGTGTCATGTTTTTATTATGCAAACTATTATGCCAAATAAATGTTTCTTTATAAATAAACCCAAGAGAGATTTGCCATAGGAACATAGATTTGATTAACACAATATCCCCAAAATACATGAATAAATTATTTTATTATTATTTGACAAGTAAATCTGGGATCCTTAACCTTCTTGTGCTTTCATCACTGTTTTTCATTCATTGATTTTGTTAATTTTTTTTTTTATTCTTTTGTCTTTAGCATGACTCGCAATTTTTTTTTTTTTTTTGCTTCCCAAAGATTCTCTTTACATGAATATTGTTTTCCATTTTCATATACATTTCTTTTAATGATTGGCTACAACTTTTCTATTGGATTAATATCTGGTGAGGTTTGGTCCGTTCCATTGAATTAGTATCTTTGAAGCCTTTTTTGTCATACTTAACTTTACAGAATGTGATGGAGCATTATCTTATACAACTCTCTAGCTGAAATTTCCTTGGTTATGACCTGAATCACTCCATAAAATGTCTTGACCAAGAACTTCTAAGAATTCTCTACATTTATCTTAAGCCTTCATCATTTTGAAAGGATCTATAATTTTACTGCCATCAATACTAGTCCAACACATTACTACACTTCTGCCCTTGTTATCATTTAAGTAATGTTGGTTGACTCTTTCACAACCTCTAGCCCAGCCATCATATCTATCCAATGTAGCTCTACACCCATCATTAAAAATTTCTGTTAAGAAATCACTTTTCCTGTAATTCTTTGCCCAGTTTACATGTTTTATTTTCTTTGTGATATTTACTTATAAATATCTATTTATAAATAGTAATCTCTTTTCATGTTCATAGCTAAAGTTCTTAATATCTTGCAACTTTTCTCTTTGTTTACATTCAGACCAACTTCAAATATTTTCTTGGTGAAATTTTCTTGCTTATTACCCTTTTTTTAAAAGATTTTCCTTGACTTTGTGGCATTCATAAAGCCATTTTTTCTTGCTCTTATCTTTGCAATATTTTCTATTTGTTTTGTTATTGTTCTCTGTTCAGATTTTACACAATGCTCTTGTGAGCAAACTAAGGTCATTTTCTTTATAAAGGTTTGTATCAAGTCTGATGTGGTGGCATAACTGTCTATCACTGAACAGATTTAATATTTCAGACCCCCACCCCAGCCATTCACTCTCAGAATAAACTTTGTCTGGTGATTATTTTAATAGAACAAATAATTTCTGATATTGATGAATCTTCTGAGTGATAAGCATTGTCTTCTAAAACCTGATCCAGATACACTCTACATATATTTCTACACAATGCTTTCTTTGCTTCATTTCAGAGTGCTTGTCAGTACCTTTGAATTGTATTACACCTGCCCAAAGCAGCTATGAACTAAGAGTTGTAACAATCCGCAATGTACCTTGAAATTTATTTACCTTGTTCTGCCTTTTCGGACCATTGTCTAATGTAAAAGCCATTAAGAAAACTCTCCTTTTGAAAACAAATCAAACCAAACCAAGATGGCTTTATCACTATAACCAGTATTTAGAATTCTAAATCTAAACACAGAATTTTGTTGTTGTTACTGAGCTGCCGAGTTATAAATAAGTTGTGAATGTACTACATACTAACTCATAGACTGAGCTTAATGAAACCATATATCTTATACTAGTGAATGATTTCAGAATTTAAAAAAAAAAAGGTACCCTAAGAAAGAAGCTTTTAGGATATAAGAATGAAGCCAAGATTTAACCTCTTTAATTATCCTATTTGTTTGTCTGGCATATCAGCTTATTTGTGAAGTTGTTGGTCAGACATCTGTTTTTTAAAAAACAAAATATTCAAATTTCAGTTTCTTTTCATCACAACTATCCAGGCTGTCATTTAGAGTTTGTTTTTAATTCTATTTTACAATACCAGGATGTAGAATAACTGTCTGATTATTTGTGACAAAAAGGAACTGAAATTAAGATGAAAGAAATAATATTTGAAACATTTTCAATCATTATCAATTTTCATTTAATAGTAAAAATTCAAGATCCACTTGTTGTATTAGTTACAGTGTGTGTGTATATATATATATATATATATATATATATGTATATATATATATATAAACCCCAAAACTCTTAATGTAGCAGAACTTATTTTGGGGGTGAATAAAATAAGTAATAATTTTTTATAATTAGATTTGTAATTCTGTATCATTGAATCTTGTAACTCAGGTTTTTTTGAGAGCTTAGACTTCATTTTCTATCTGTGCTGTTTACTCCTGGCTATAGAATGACAGTCTTCAATAAAAAAAAAAATTAAAATTAAGATGAAAGCAATAGGATTCAGAAATTGGTAATCAGGATTCAGTTCAGATTCAAGATAGAAAAACAAATGAATTCTTAATAATACTTTGTTTTTTTGTTTTTTTAAACTCCTTTCATCCGTTTTTGTTTTACTTCTTCACAAATCAACCATTTCTGAAAATAACTCATTAAAACTAATTATTTTTACCCTATCAGCTAACAATATGTTTAGTGTATATATGTGTGTATGTATGTTGATCATGCTAGATAAACACACTCTCAGAAACTGTGACTAAGTTCTGTTCAGCATAGTTGCAATATAAACCACAGGTGGGCTCTGTGGGTGTTTAGCAAACACAAATGTGCCTGAGCAAGCGTCTGCAATAGGGAGTGACTAGCTGCCCTAGTAAACAGGTATCCTCAAATACAAGTGGCCAGCTATATATATATATATATATATATATATGTATATTTATACTTGACTCTCCCGTCGAATTCGACATATGAGGGTCAAGCAGATCAGTTCCTAGGAAACCGACAGCCCAATAACAGCACATGAGATTTGATTATAGTGGTGAAGGTTTTGTGCAGGATCATCCACACTTTTTAAAGGGCCGAATACAGAGACCTAGTGCACTAAGTGCCACAAGGTCCTCAAACGACCCTCCGCAAGTTTTGAATTCAGGGTTGTCCTTCTCCTAGACCAGTTGTCATCCAAGGCTATAGAACCCAGTCTGTCCTGCTATTTACCCATAGCTGGGGGGAGAAGAAGAGGATTCACACCTTTCCCAAAGGTATTACAGTGAATGTAATGGATTTTACTGGAATTCAAACTCAGCTCTTCGATTTCTCACTCCAAGCTGCTATCCATTATTCCACCGTGCCTCCTATATATATATATATATATATATATATATATATATATGGTATCAAAATACTTTTATAAACTTTGGGGAAGGTTCCTCACACCAAAACAAGAACAAAAGTTCCTCTAAACATCTTTCTGCAAATCCTTAATTTTTGAATTATTAAATTTCAAGTTTACGGTAGGCACTTTTAAATGTACTGTCCTAGATGCAATCCAAAAATGCTTTTACAAACTTTGCGGGTGGATTCTTCGGCACCAAAACCAGGTAATATGTTTATATAAACATATGTCCAAAAGCCATCATTATAACTAAACACAGCCACTTCAAATGTCCTCTGCTTGCTTCTACACATGCATGCACCCATCGCAGACCCCACCATGACATGTTGATGAAGTGTTTCTACTTTATTAATGTCTGCCGTATAAACCAATTGTTTTAGGTAGCTCCATAGATAAAAATCCAAACGATTGAGGTCAGTGGAACATGCAGGCCATGGAATCATTCCTCCCCTACCTATCCATCTTTCATGGTAGATGTCAGCCAGTGCATCACGAACAATGTAATTAGAATGTGCTGGAGTCCCATCATGTACAAACCACATGGGTATTTGTATCAGCAGGGGTATGTTCTCTAACAGGTCTGGAAGTGTGTTTGAAATAGTCACTGTGAGATATACCAGGAGAACATATGAACCTACCAGACAGCCACCTACAATTCAAGCCCACGCATTAATTGTAAAATGATGCTAGTGTCTAGCCTGATTGTACCATGAGGATTCTGATCTGCCCACAAATATTAGTTGCGTAATTTTTTTTTTTATTCCATCTCTTCTAAATGTTGCTTCATCTGTAAACAAGACTGAAGAGACAAACAATGGATTGGCAGTTTGTGCAATAAACCATCAGCAAAAATTCTCATGTGGTGAGTGATCAGAAGGTGACAGACCCTGCACATGTTGCAAATGATACAGATACAGGAGTTGCTCTTAAAGTTCCCTCCATGATGAGATGTATATGTTGAGGCCACTTGACATGTACTGATACCTGGATCATCTCCAACAGCCAGTAGAATGTATTCTTCATGATCAGGTGTATAAGTGGATCTCAGTCTTCCTCTATCCATAGTTTGTGGTGCCACAGATCCTGTCTCAGCAACACAACAATAAACAGGAGTAAAGTTTGGACAACTCAGCTGCCTTCAGTCTGGAAACACAATCTGGTACAGCCTTGTGTCTGTATGCAAAAATCATATCTGCCTGCTCCTGATATGAATATTCTGCCATTATTAACTCACTGCTACACACATTAAATGTTAAAGATAGACTAGCTACAAATGTACACTAGTTTATATGGCAACAGAGTGCCATGCACTTTTGTCCTTGTTTTGGTGTAAGAAACCTGCCCTCAAAGTTTGTAAAAGTATTTTTGATACACCCTGTGTATGTATGTATGTATGTGTGTGTGTGTGTGTGTATATATATATATATATATATATATATATATATAGCTACTACTGGTTTCTTATCACACCCATCTGTCAGGGTGGCTAATCAAACCCTATTACAGACATCTGCTCAATCCATAGAGCATACCTGTGGGTTTATGCAGCAACTATGCTGAGCAGACCTTAGAATTTCTGAGAGAGATCTCATGATCTGGTGTAATCAATTTCTTGGACAAAGCCAGTACGCTCAAACCCTTGGTCATGATGACTTGTCACTTCATGCTAGCAACAACCTTTCTAAACAGTTCCATCAAACCAATTTCCCTCAGAAAGCATGGGTCAACGCATGGTATGGTTTTCAGATGCTTTACAAGGGTCCATATGCTAGGATCTTGATAACATCAAGAAGTCTCTATGATGAACAAATCAACTTAGATACAAACCCAGGTCTGATTGTCAGAAAATGAACATTCTAATCACTTGGTCATGAACCCATATATATATATATATATTCAACTCTCTCATTGAATTCGGTATATACAGATCAGTTTCTGGGAACCAACAGCCCGACACCCATACATGAGATATTATTATAGTAGTGAAGGTTTTGTGAAGAACCAACCACACTTTTTGAAGGGCCGAATACAGTGATCTGGTGCACTTTGTGTCACAAAGTCTCCAAATGACCCTTCACTGGTTTTGAATTCAGAGTTGTCCTTCTCCTAGAGCAGTTACCATCCAAGGCTATAGAACCCAGTCTGTCCTGCTATTTACCCATAGCTGGAGGGAGAAGAAGACGATTCATGCCTTTCCCAAGAATATTAGTAAATAAGTGAATGTCATGTATTTGACTGGAATTCGAACTCAGCTCTCAGATTCCTCAATCCAAGCTGCTATCGATTACTCCACTGTGCCTCCTATATATATATTTTATTAATTATCTTTTTTTTTCATTAGTAAATGGATTGCTCCACTATCTTACGTGTAGGTTAATATTATGGTCAGTTTTTAATTTGTGCCTGATGGTTGTTACATTCATGACACATATAGTTGCTTTGAATGGTGAAGAGAAAAAGTGTATATTTTTCTTATATGATAAATTTGTAGTAGTTTTTTTTTTTTTTTTTGTTTTTTACTACTAAGGAAGATATTTGCCTTTGTTCTTGACTCTACCATTTTCTCTGTTTATTTGATTGTTTTCATTTTTGCTCATGTGTCCCTTGATCTTCTTCTTTCTAGCATTTATTTCATTTTCTCTTTCCTCTCCAGTCTTCGGCTTCATTTTCCTTTCACTTTGAACCAAACTTAGGTTTTCTTTTTTGTCTTTTTTTTCTCATCAATACCTTTGCTTTCTTTTCCTTATTTCATCTTTTTCTCCCTCTCCATTCCCCCACCCCCCACTATTTCCTTTTCCTTTCCATCTTTGGCTTCATATGCACACTGTGTATTGGAATGCTGCCTCCACCTATAAATCAGCTGCAGTAAGATGCACACTTTACACTGACTGACAAACTGTTGAACCTTAAAATTCCTAGCCAGAACTTGTTACTTTTTACTGGTCTTCAAGATCTTTTCTCCAACAACTGACCTCAAAATAGATTCTATTTGCATTTGACACTAAAAACGGGAACTTTTTGCTGGCACTCATATTTCTATCTATTGCTGTGGTGAGTAGGGGAATACTCCCCCTCTTCCACTGCTGTCATTGCTCAGTGCCCCATGGAGGAAACCATTTAAGAATGACAAGTGCTACAAATAAAAACCAGTTTTTTGTGGAGCTCCTTGCTTCCAACTAATTGTAAAGTACTGTGTAGTTGGAGACTATTTTGTGCCAATTGAAAGAAATCCATTTTATTCTCAAGAGAATCGCAAAGATTCAAGATGAACAATGCAGACATTTTATAAGTAGAAACACAGCAAACCTTTTTGTGAGCTTAGTTTTAAAGCAGAGCAAGCTCAAATGGTGGTAGGGAGATTGTCTTGCAACTGTCTCCAAAATTAGTTTTCAAGATCTTTTTACCTGCACGCAAATACTGATCAGTAATGCCAATAGGAAAACACCAGAAAGGCAATGATATTTACTAATATTATTTTACTTTAATTTGTCTGGCATGGGGCACATATCTGTAAGTTAGTCTTGTAAACCATTGATCCTAACTGGGTGTCTCATGCTTGTATCCCGTCCTGGGTAAGACAATAAACTACATCCGTATCCTGGGTATTGATTTTCTAAGCGTAGCTTAGATGTGGCAGAAGGCCAAAGGTATGGGGCATCCAGTGAGGATCGAACTCACTACTCAGTCGTAATTGTTCTAGTGAGACAAGCTTGCTAACCATTATGCTACGTTGAGGTGTCCCATCCGCATCCTGGGTAAGACAATAAACTACATCCAACAGCAAGGCGTTTGATCAGGAGGTTTTGAGGAGCATGGAACCACCTCTTAATTGCTGGTGTTTCCATGTCCACTTTTACCCAGGCTGATAGCAACTGTCAGGGTCCCGGCTATGGGCAAAATAGTCAACTCTCCCAAAAGGAGTCGAAACATTATGAAAGTGTAAAAATAGGTTTTAATACCAGCAATACTTGTTTGGAAAAAATTATTACCAGTAATACAGTTTCATTAAAAAAAAAAAAAGTATTACCATCAATAAAAATCTTGTCAGCATCAAATAACCCATTGAGGTTGATATGTCATAAAATAAACCAAATGAATCATGCTTGTAACTTAACTTAATCTCGCACAAGGTGACAAGCATGGGAAAACTAGTCAGATACGATACATCACTCATATCTTTCTCTTATAAACTCCTTGTATAAAAACTTTAAAATATCTTTCTCTTATAAACTCCTTGTATAAAAACTTTAAAATTACATGTCTTATTTGAGAATCAAATTTTATATAGGCTGCTCTGATTAATTAATATACATATGTTTTTGTCTTTTAGACAATCAGCTCCAGATTCTTCCCATACAGAGATATAGAAACTGATGCTGTGTTTAGTCTGGATGAAGATGTACTCCTTACTACAGATGAAGTAAGTAAAACAAATTACAATTAATTTGATGTTGGTTGATATTACTATTAATAATAATTTCTAAATACAAAATGGGTTAATGATATGAATTATTCCTTCATTTCTACTCATTTGTTTTTCTGAGCTGAATACTTTTTTTTTTTTGTTTTATTAGTGAGGTGTACGTATTAGAAACCTGTTGTAGTTAAATGCTAGGGTGTCATTCCCAACTGAGTCTTGTCAGAGGACAGATCTCTGGTTGTTATCAAATGTTGATGGGTTTCAGCATTGGAATAGAAACTGCATCTGATTTATACCTGGTATTCTTATGATATGACAAAGAACCAAGAATGTGTGATGGTATTAAAAGGTACTGCTCAGGTGTTTGGTCTAAGTGGTACTGATGCAATGACCAGGTGGTTTATTTGATGAAAGCAATGCTGCTGTTCTATGAATTTCTGTAATTTAATAATGTTATATTCCGTGCTAAGGGAATACTTAACACAAGGTGGATAATAGAAGAAAGGTTTATTGTACACAACCAGTACAATATGAAATACGGTACAGTTATACACACAGGTCAATCTAGTAGTGAGTGCCACTAATTGGAGGGTCGGACATGCTTGATTCTTCTCTCATTCACTCTTCTAAGTTTGTCATAAACAGTTGATTTTATAGGTACTTACTACCTATAGTGTAATCATTCATGGGGGTGACTGGTTATTCCATTACATCAAATAATAATAATTTTCATATAAAATTATAAAGTGAAAAGTTATGGACAATGTTGTCGGACTAAATTAACCAATCAAAACATTTCCATTCATCATCAGAAGGTTGCAAAACGAACATTTTGTAAATAATCTTATTTTCTTGTGAAGCAATTTGATCTATCAACTTTTAAAAATATGATTCATTATTCAAAATTAAGTTACTATGAGCTTCCTTTTAAAAAAATGTGCTGGGAACTTTTGCACACACCTAATAACTATGTTTATTATTATACACTGATGAAAAAGAATGCTAGTCCAAGTATTTAGTTGTTAGTATGTCATAATGTTTTCTTTTACTGTACACTATAGCCTTCATAACTGGAAATTCTGAATTGTGTTCTTTATTCATTCTACAAGGTAGATTGGCCTACCTTGTGAAATCACTTTTTCCTTCCAATGAACCAGGGTATATAACTTTTTGCACTGTCTAATTACCATCTAGAAGACCGACTTTACTGTAGGAAAATGTGATGGTGAAAGAGGCTTAAATTTCATATCAGTTGTCTTTCCTGTTTTTTTTTAGATTGACTTTGCCTTTTCTGTTTGGAAAGAATTTCCTGAACGTATTGTGGGTTACCCAGCTCGCAATCACTATTGGGATGACCTACGATCAAAATGGAGCTACACGTCCAAATGGACCAATGATTATTCAATGGTTCTCACAGGGGCAGCAATATATCATCGGTAAGTTTATCTTTTTTTATATACTCAACAAGTTTATTTTTACTTCCTTAACATCTGTATTTAGGGCTGTTGTTTCTTAATTTTAAATTTTCTAACTAAATTCCTCATTTGTTATAAATACTAAGAAGTGAACCTCATTTTAATGAGGTAATCAGTGATTTTTCAATCAACTGTCATCATGAACTTAGATTTTGAAGTTTTCACTCACCAAATGAAAATATTTTTTTCTTTTAAAACTGTTTCAATGAGTCAGCAAACAGAGAAAACCAATAAGGATAGATAATCATTCCATTCTTGTCTGTTTGCAAAAAATACATGATATCTTCTCTTTGCAAGCAAATCTAATAATACTGCTTCATTAACAAATTATCAGGTGACACTAAAAGTGGCAGCCATATTGGATTATTAACAATTAGGTTTCATGTATTTGTATAACTGACAGATATAAAATTGGGATGGGAAAGGAGGTTTACTTTTTAGAAATCTTCTTTTGATTTTGTGTAAATAAATAAAATAAAATAATGCATTGATTTTTTTTTTTTTTTTTAATTGAACTTAAACTCCTATATACCAAATTGCATGATGTTGACTTATCATCATTGACTAACATCTTCATCATTAAATATTGTCTTGCAAGAGTTGTTTATCAGATTGTATCACATGAAATGTTTGGATTTTTGATAGTAAAAAAAAAAAATTCATCAAAGAGCCAAGATATATGGATGATTGTTTAATTTAAGTAATGATAAGTACCACACATGAAAACTATGCATTTTTTTAATTTTCTCTCTGACTTTTTTTGCCTTTCATATCACAGCCAAATAATGAGAACTTTATAAAATCTTTCACTCTCTCTCAAGTTATGTGTCATTACAAAATCGTTTGTAGGTCTTTTATTGTGAATATTTTCATATCTTTAACAATTCCAATTGAATTTCCTACAAAAAAAAAGTAAAATTATCTCTGATGAATTAAATGAAAAGTACAACAGAATACAGATTTAAAATATCAATCTTGCCTACAGCAAATGTTGGCTTATTTACAGTGAATTCTAACACTTCATGTGGTACAATGTCATATTTGATGTCTTGATCACTATTGATTCCTATTATTCACATATATTTTTTTTCTTTTTTATAGGTATTACAATTACTTATACACACATTTATTAAACAGCTATTCTGTCAAATCTATAGTGGACCAAATGCAGAACTGTGAAGATATTCTGTTGAATTTTCTAGTCAGCCATGTAACGAATCTCCCACCGGTCAAAGTGACCCAGCGAAAGCTCTATAAGGAGTCCATGATACCTAATAACAATGGCAAATCATCGGTCTGGCTGAATACACTTCATTTTGTTCAGAGACAGTCCTGCATCCATAATTTCACGAATGCTTTTGGTTACATGCCTCTCATTCGGTCCAATTTACGAATGGATCCAATCCTCTTCAAGGACCCAGTTTCCAATTTGCGCAAGAAGTATCGCCAGATAGAACTTGTATAAAAAAACAAACTGTTCATTTGCCTTTTGCCAAATGTGGAGTTACGAAAGAAGAAAAAAAAACTTATTAAAGTATCAAAAATTTAAAAAAAAATTATGGCCAAGTTAAGAGTTTTGAGAAAAATGTTACAGTCAAATGATTGCCATGTGCAGAAAAGCCTTTAATTTTTTTTTATTTTATTTTAAAGGTAAAAATGAATTTAAATACTTTGACTTTTTGTAGTATTTTTTGTTTTTTTTTTTTTTTGTTTTTTTTTTTCCAAAAAATATATAACTGGCTTTTTTTGAGTCAGTCAGGAAAAAAAATCAACAAAAATTGAAACCCTCATTATCAAAACAAAATTCAATCAAATTTTTTGTAACGATTTTCTATTGATTTTTTTTTTTTTTTTAAATACATATAAATATATATTAACAAAATTCTTCAGCAACAAACAACAAAAATAAATAACCAAACATTTCTCCCTCAATTTGAATGTCTTTTGCTGGTTTATCAAGTTGGCATTATTTTAAACAAACAAAACCTAAAATGTAATCATTTTAAAAAAAAAAAAAAAAAAAAAATATCAAATACATATAGGCATTTGTAAAAGCATTTAAGAATTATCAGGAAATAGCTGACTGACTCACCAGAAAGTGACAGGTATGAAGAGAAATGAATTGTCTTTCTTTTTTAATAAATTTTTTAAATTCAATAAAATTAATGCTCTTTCTTTATTCTGGTTTAAGAATCTCTTCTCTGTCTCTCTCTTTTTTTTTTAAAGAAAGAATAATTGTGTAATGTTTGTTAGTTTTTATATCAAGGCAAAGTCGAAAAAGAAATAATTTACAAAATTGATTTGATAAATTTTGTACTTAATTTCTCTGATCATTTTCATTATAATTAGAGATGAGTAATTGCTGCTTAGAATGAAGTTTCATGATCTATCTCTTCTGTAACCATCATCAGGTGAGGTAGCACGTGAACCTTGTTTTGCCTATAGTGTTTCACAACTTCCTCACTGCATGTTACATTCAGAAAGTTTTGAGCTAAAGCAAATAAGTAGATACTGATCTTGAATAATTTAGGGATTTTTTTTTTTTTTGGTAATTGTTACTCGGCCCTTTTGTTTTCTCAATTGTGAGATTAAAAACAAAAAGGAAATAATCTGATCATTTAGATACAAAATGTTTCCAAATGATTAGAATTTATTAGAATTTACTTTTTCTTTGCTGTTTGTCGATCGCTTTTCATACCCTGACCATTTGTCAACAGATGATTTGGTTTAATCTTCTGAGCAGCTGAAGAAGAAAAGATGTTTATTGCAGATTTTGTTGATATCCTCAGTAAAGCTGCTTTAAATTTTTTTTTTTTAAATACTGTTAAATAATTCACTGCCATTTTTTTTCCTCATTGTTCTTGACAAAAAAAAAAAAAAAACTTTTGTTTTTAATTTGAGTCTTTCTAAAAAAAAAAAAAAAATTTATTATATATATTTTTTTTAATTTTTAAATAAATTTTAACTTTTCTTTATCAGAAGAAAATATGAAATTCTAAAGGATTTTGCATTCTGTAACCCACGTAAAATCTTCAGTTTTCGCAGGATTAAATTTATTATTCCTTACTTATCTATTATTATGTGAAACAAATTTGTCAAATATTGATATGTTCATCCCACCGTCTTTAAAATTGATCAACTTAACCCACCAATATCATATCTCAATGTTATTAGATCTTCAACCACCGTACTGCTATTTTGAAGAAATTATTTTGATTGCATTTATTTTTCAAACAAATGTTGATTTGAACAAATATCATTTATTAAATTTCAACTTAAATTTTTCTTTCTTTTTTATCAAATTTTTGAAAAGCATTCATATACTTATTCAATTGACATGATGATTATGAAGTACATTGAGTATGATGACATTTTTATTTCTTTGTTTCATTTCAATCTTAATCTGAGGTTTCAACTTTTCATGTTCCATCTCTTCATTTTCTTGGATTGCATCTTTTAGGACTGAAAGTTTAAGAAATAGCAGAATAATTTGCTTCTGATTTTTATTGGTTATCAGTTCTGGGAGTTTAACAATTCCTTACTTTTCTTCTTGAAACAGAATTCAAAAGAGTCAATTAATTTCATAAAAATTAATCTGGGTTTTCCCTGTGCTACAAGAAGTCTTCTCGAAATATTATGTTGTTCTTGGCATTGAAAAGGTGAAACTTATTGGAGATTATTTTGAGAATGGCATAAACAAATACTTTTACCCACCAAAACCTGTTTGTTTTTATGTATTCCCTTTATGAAAAATATTATACCCCAAAACATATAATTACATATTTGATGGGTATTATGCTAGCAAATGAATAGTTTATCTGTCCCACCTTTTGCTCATGTTCAATATAACCTGAGAAGCATGAAAGAAAATTTTCAGCAGTTATTGAAACTATTCTTAGTTTTAATGATTTATTTTGTATTTCTTTTTGGTCGTGTGTGTAAAAACACATCCGTGATATAAAGGCAAGAACAGTCCTGGCTGCAAAATTGCCAGAGACAATGCAAAGTAAAATGATAATCACAGGCAAGATAATTGGTTTTTCTCTTAAAAATAGCACCCCCCACTCTGTAGACAGTTGGCTGAGAGATAGAGATATGTGCTTTTACTTCACTGTCATTCAGTGCTGTCTGTTGAAGCATAGCAGAGATAATAGCTACCACATACCTGAGTAAGATGTAGAAGTGGGTGGGGTTTTTAAATATTTTGGTTACAGATATGAACTCTGTTCAGAACAAACATGTAGAAAATGGAATATTCTCTCTTCTTTTTTTTCTTTTTTTAAGAATATGAGATAAGTCACTGTAGCAAATGAATTCAGAAACTCTGATGGTTATAATGTGTATCTGTATTACTAGTGTGAAGTTAAGAAAACTTAGCAAATTTCTTTTTAAAAATACATATATATATATATATATATATATATATATATTTAACTCTTCAGTAACTTTTCCACTTTGGTATTAAACTAACTTTTCTATTAAAGGATGACTTTTCTTCGCTGTTCCAAAATGAATCAATAGAATGATTTTCCATTCACCAACTTTGGTTTTGAGAGCTGAGATTTTCTCCTCATGGACAGATGATTACCATTGTCTGCTTCCAGATCAGAGTACGTTTAAAGCTTAAGGTTCTATCTGTTATGGTTAACAAGCTACCATCACAAATAGTGCCCATTAATTCAGTATTCATTTTTTTTGCTTGCAGAAACAATCAGTGTTTTATATATATATATATATATCTATATATATATATATATATCACTGACTTGATTCTAAATGGAATAAAGAACAGGTCACAAAATTTGGCTTCTAATTTTATAGTCATTCCAACTGAGTTTTAATTTCCATGAGCTCTTTTAATCTTATCTAGATTAATTATACTTTCTCTGTACATACTTACATTTTATTACTTCCATTATCCAGTAATTATTACATTCAGTGTTTAAAATTTGGTCCAAAGATTTATAAAACTATGTTATCCTTTTTTTATTTAGAAACATTTTTCATTGAGTTTATTAATTTCTTACTTGGAACCATTACTTAAATATTTCATATGTCATTTCAGGTTTGTTGGATAAAATATCCAAAATCAGTTCTCCTTTTATGTTGTCTCACATTATTTTAAATGTCAGGTTTAAATGTAACAAGACAAAATTGTTGCTAGAATATAACCATTAATCTTTTAAGAAAAATTAGCAATTTGAACTAATATTAAGACACAGAAGTGAGTTTGTGTGTGTGTATATATATATATAAGTGGACATTGAAGTCAACACTGAGAGGTGACAGACTGTTTCATGCTAGACACAGTCTGTCCCCTCTCAGTGTTGACTTCAATGTTCACATATGCTCAATCTCTGATATTGAGCACTTATCCCATAAATATAGCACACCTTAAAACTATATTTCTTCATATACACACACACACACACACTTTAGGTAAAAAAAAAATCCACAAAATAATCCATTTTGGGAGCTTCTTCAATTCTTGATAAGAACACCACTTCAACAATACAGTTATTTGTAAGCAACAAAGTTTTAAAGGACTTTGCTATCTGAAATAATATTTGTGTATTTGGGCCACGTGTTAACATTTCAGATTTCTATTTTGACTTATAATACAAGATTGAAAACAAAGAGTTAGCTTATATATTTTTAAAATATTGTGAATTAATGTAAAGACACAATTTCATTCCATATACTTTTTTTTTTTATTCCTGTTTTGCAGTTTGAAATGAAACAAAAAGCACTGATTTTTTGATTAAATTGTTGGTCATTTCATTTATGCTGTTACTGCAATAATTTCAAATGAAATTTAATCATTAAAACTGAGAAGACAATAGTCTTTTGTTGAGAAGTGCATGACAAGATCAAAAATTGAATAAAAATGCTTCTAAATCCAATCTCAAAAATTGAGGTGTGTGGGGGAGGAGGCAGTATAGGATGAAAAATTATGTGGAATAAGGATAAAATTGACAAAGAAACCTTACAAATTAATGATACTGCAACAAGAAAGAATGTTCAATTATTTTATTATAATCTGTTACATCATTTTTTTTTTTCCTTAAAAGAATTAACATGATAGGAACATTAATATACAGTTTATAAATATTCTTGCTCATTTTAAATTCATTAAATATAAGGTTGATTACTAAAGAAAACACACAAAATGTTA